TCGACAACGAGTAATTTGACGTTTCGCAGCGCCCCCATTGGTAGTTGAACTTTATTACAGATCCAAGATCGCTTGTCTTATCTATGTCACAGATTAACAAACTTGATCTAGTTTTTATCTATGATCCTTATCTATCTGTCCTTTATCTATGCGGAGAAATTCCAACCTCCACTAAAGACGCAATTGCCCTTCCGGCCGTTTGTTAACATTTCAAATTTATAAAATGGTAAGTTCAACTGCGGCCTGCAAATCTGCAATCATCCCTTAAAGGGGTTGCCGAAAAGGGCCCTTTTTTGTTTATAAGACACCCCTAGTAGTTCCTCTTTTCCATTAGAGTGAGCTTTTTGGCCCCCTTTTATCAATTAACCCACAAATGGTGCCCTTTAGGGCCCTTCCGGTGATGCAGCCCCAAAACCTTAAAGGTAATCCTTTTGCAAAAACCTTTTTTTAGTGGTGATTCTTATAGAAATAATCCCTTTGCGGGCCTTTATTTTTACCAGAAACACCACTAATAAAGAGATTGTCTATATCCTACATTTTAGGGCCTGATATCTAAGAAAAATTCCCAAGTTCCAATCTAGCCCCAGTTTAGCAGCGCATTTTATTGACTTGTTCCAGGCTCGAGGCCCCAAAAAGCATCTGAAGCGCCTGAACGCCCCAAAGGCATGGATGTTGGACAAGCTGGGGGGCGTTTTTGCTCCTCGTCCATCCACAGGGCCCCACAAACTAAGGGAGTCGCTGCCCTTAGTGATTTTTCTGCGAAATCGACTCAAGTACGCCCTCACTAATAGTGAGGTCACAAAAATCGTCATGCAGCGACTGATCAAGGTGGATGGGAAAGTGAGGACGGACCCCAATTATCCCGCAGGATTCATGGGTAAGCGGTCAAAGCGGTGCCTTAAGCCTTTAAGCAGAGTTTCATCCAAATGTTTTTGTGTTGCTTCAGATGTGGTAACCATTGAAAAAACTGGCGAATTCTTCCGCCTGATCTACGATGTTAAGGGCAGATTCACGATTCATCGCATCACAGCAGAAGAAGCAAAGGTGAGATCTGATAAGTT